CTGAACAGGAGGGCCTCTGAGGTTCCACTGTCAACAGTTTTCCAGCCTGATGATCTCCAGTCCAATGGGAGCCCTTCAAGGGCCCCCACCCTGATGAAGGAGGCCCTTCAAGGACCCCCCAATGTGATGGAGAAGCTGTTGCTCACACAGTTCTCTTCCCTAGGACCTTCCCACTAACTCACCAGCGTAGTGTGGGTCATAGTAGATGTCCCCGCGGGACAAGCTATAGATAGCCACAAAGAGCTGACCGAGGATCAGGGCACTCATCAAGGCCACCCCAAGGGGACTGTGAAGAGGAAAACGAAGTCAGAGAGGCCAGAGCCAGGGTTGAGACCCAACCCCCTCCTGGTGAGGGTGAGAGCAGACTCCAGGAGGCTCCAGGTGATGAGGCTGAAGCATGTGTCTGTCTATTCAGAAATGCCTTTCCTTAAGCTGCCCTCTCCCATCACCAGGCTCTTTCACCAGCTGCTTCCATCTCCTGGAAACTCCTTCCAGAAGTTTCTTTCCCACATGGCAAATTTCTCCCCATCCTTCGTGGTCCATCTACATTGTTCCTCTTCCAGGAAGCCTTCTCCAACTCCTCAGAAAAGATTATTATCAAACTTGGGCCAGGTACAGAGGGGGTGGGGCGCCTGTCAACCCTTTCTGATTATGTGATTTATCCCATCACTTGCTGATATGTTTGACTCAATTGCTCAGTCAGTCAGTCCTTCAACAACACTGAGCTCTGTGGCTAGACCCAGCGCCCACCCCTGCCAGATGGTCTCTAGTGTTCTCACTGTGTGAAGCTCCTGACTCCTCCCGGCTAAAGTCCACCCCACCTCTATCCTGATCTGTTCCCATTGACCCGATAAAACAGGTCAACCAGGTGCACAGACAATAGAAGCCAGGTCTCTGGGCAGCCCCCCAAACCTGGCAAGGCCAAGAGAGGACGGATCTATCCAAGGTCACACAGTCTCCTCCTCCCCCACTCTCTCCTCGATTCTACCTTCTCTGGAACGCTTCTGACAGCTAGCATCCCCATTCCTGCCCCATCTGACTAACAATGACAATTAGAGTAATCAGATGGGACCACACCAGAGTCTTTGAACACAATTCATAATCCTTAACTCTATGGGATGAGATCTAGGATTATGTTTGTTACACAGTGAAGAAACTGAGGCTTTTAGAGGCAACCTGGAACACTTTGAGGTTCAAGGGGGTGGAGCCAGCAATTTGGACCCAAGGAGCTAACCTCCTAGTCAAGACTCCCTCTACTCCATTCTTGGGTGGAGCTGGGTTTAGGAATGTGAGGGGCTTTGCTGATGCCTGGTACCCAGCGGCTGGATCCACAGGACCAGAGTCTAAGGTTAGGAGACAGGCACAGGGAAGTTTGAGGCATGTATGGGGAAACTGAGGCTAGAGGCGGGGTAGGCCAGCCCTGAACAAAAGAAAGTCCCTGGGCTTAAACAGGAGGGGCAACCTGCTAGGGGTGGTGCAGCGGAACCTGTGTGGCAAGAGCCAGGTCACCAGGGCCTTATCTGGGGCAATACTTTGACCCTCGGCGACTTTGGAACCTATGCTGGGCATATCCCTGGGAAAACCAGGGAAATTGTTTCCAAAACCCTGCCCTGTGTGTGTGGGGTGGGGGGTCGGGGGATGGGAGGGCAGCTTTGGCTCTGTTTCTGAAGGTTCCTTCTCCCCGGGCCCCAAACATCCCAGGGCGTCCCCACCCCCAGCACACAGCCTCTGTGCCAGCGGAAAGAGGAGCCCCGGCCCGAACGGCTAGGGGCTCAAAGGCTCACGCCGAGAGCCCGGCCAA